TAAACTAAAAATGGATGAACAAGGAGGATTCTAGATCTTAATAATACAACTCACAAATTTGATAAACTCTTACTTTAATTTCTTGTACGCGATAAATTAGATATAGATTTATTATAAATATTATTGCTATTCGATTAAGGGTATTATTAACTTTAACTCGATCAAACACATAGTCCTCGTGGGTTCGACATTTTACACACTACTATATTACTTGATCACGACCTCGTTCACTTGCGAGAAATCAAACGATCACTTTCCTTTGTGCATTTTTTACATTATGGGACAATAAAAATCGTCACTGATTTAGAAATCTTTGAATTTTACGGTTAACCAGCTTCACTGGTATCTTGAATTAATCAGTGGAACACTTTTGATACAGTTGCAAGACTAGACAGCATACTTAAAGTCGTTAAAGTTTTTCTATTTTTCCCCTTTTCAGTGTTTATTAAGTCTATTTGGCATTTGGCAACTTAAACGGTTAATGCAGTTCTTTGGACAATTTGAAGATGTGCAATGAGTTTAATGCAACATTAGATAAAATGCGTATAAAACGAAACTCCTCTCTTGTCCAGTTTTTCTATAAAATGCTTAACTTGCTTCTAATTATATTTTAGGCATGGTTATTCAGCAATCTTTTGTTAGTGCTTTGATTTACTCATGTGGGTCTATGGTGTGTTCTTTGATTAAAATTACATTTATGGTAGTTTTTTAATTTATGATATTTGAATTTTTCCTTATAGAATAGGTTCTAATGCATTGTGTAAATAAGACCATTTGGGTCTTGAAAAATGAGATTTAACGAAATGAAAAATTGAGTATTCTCAATTATGTATCAATGAATTCCTGATGCCTATTTAGCATTCATGAGTGAATCAACAGGAAATAGAAAGTGATTCATGATTCTCGTATTTTCATTCTTGTATACACGCTACTTTAAATTAAGACCCCTAGCTATTGTATTAAGGGTATTAAGGTTAAAAAAAAGGTCAAATGTACTTGTGATGGAAGACTTGTGCGAAAGAAATTTCAAGGAAACAACAGGATGCAGCAAATCGCTTTCATATTAATGTTGTTAATTAGCGGGTTTATAATAGGTTTTTAATCTACTTCGTTTTACAGCCAGCAAAAATGAGCCTTGAAGAGATTGAAAATAAATTAGACTCCCTTATTCAAACAGATACAGTTGCGCATTTGAAGAGTGCTGTGTGGAAAGAGCGGCTTGAAGGTTTATATTTTAATTTGTTCTCTTTATTGTTGAGTTTATTAAAGTTGATGCTAATCTAATATTTTTTGCAATAAAACATAAAAATCGTCTTGTTCCATTAAGTATGGAGGTTTGAAATGAAACTTGTTTTTAGTAAACTTTGGAGTTTGAATGGAATGTTCTTATTTGGACTTACAGCCTCAAGCTTGATAATGCAGTAGTTTGTAACTTATCTGTGATGTGATGAAGTCTATCTTTTGAAATACTTTTGAAATGTATAAAACATCTTTGTTGGCTTCTAACTATGTCATCTATCATATCATCTATTAATTCTAAATAAATTATATGTTCTTATAATAGAGGAATNAATAAATTATATGTTCTAATAATAGAGGAATGACTTTATGCTTTATTCTTTGTTTTCTATGAGTTTTCTTACCATTTGCTTCTTCTACGTGTTTCATCTGGTTACACTTGCAATATTCAAATTATAACCATTCTACTATATTTGGGGATGCAATAATCAAATTATAACCATTCTACTATATTTGATCCCCATGTATATGTGTATATATACACTACAAGAACCAAATGAACTAAAGAAGGAAAAAGAAAAGAAAGGCGAAAGAAAAAAAAAATGAGTTTTTTACTTACTGAACTTAGTTTGAACTTTCTGTTTTCAGAGTCTTGGATTTATGCAACCATGTTTTTCGTTCAAAATTAAATACTCTTTTGCCTGCTTCTTTGATTTTTATGCTTCACCGAGTATATGTTCAGTAATTTCCTCAAATTTCCTTTAAGATAAATTGTTGATTGAAGATAATGCATTTTGAAGATGAACTTTAATAGGTAGAATTCTGCTCATTCTTAAATGGGAGTCCCTGGTGTTTACTTGACGAGTTATTTTGGATTTTTACAGGAAATTATTTGCCATTTACTAAATAATTTAGTTGTGGATGAAACATTAACTCGACATATTTTTTCTCTCTACTCCCGGTCTTCAGTGTTACTCCCTTTTGGCTTCAGTCCCATAATTTCTCTACCTAAAATCACTAAAATTGGATGTTACGT